GTGTATGTTCAGTGCAGGGATGTGTTGTGGTTTGGACATGTCAGTCTAAACACTGTTTATATTTCAGCTCTGCTGTCATCCTAACATCACAACATAAAATACCAAAAAAAAAAAAAAACCCTTCTAAAAAAGCAGATGTAAAGAAATAAAACAGCAGAACACGATTTTAAATACTGGAAATAAAATTTTGAAAAGGCTCAGTTAGGACGGCCACCCTAAAGGGGGTGAATATTTATGCAGTTTATTTTAAGTGACCAGTGATAAAAAGGTCAAACCTTTCTACTTTGTMACTTCTGAATGCAGCTGCTTGATTTAGTCTGAAAGCAAATGAAACACATTTGCTGCAGTTTTCAGATTATTTGTCAAAGTAGTACTGTAGTACTTTGTGTRGATTTCTGTCAAATGCTTTTGCCTCTGAGGTGAGAATGTGGACTAAATATTTTATTCAAGGAGCTGAACTCTGCTGAATGTTTGAAAGTGAAGCAGGTGTCGAACACCTCAGACTGAGGCTGGAGGATCAGAGGAGACTCYTCTTCTGGTCCAACCGGTCCTCAGGAATCCAGTTCTGCATCCAAACGGGTCAAAGAGTCTGACTGATCTTGGATCTGCTCCAGGAATCTGTTCAGCTTCAGCCACATGGAGGAGAAGCAGAACCAGCTTTTTACCTTCTAACGCGCTCTGATCCAGAAACTGCTGCTCTGCTCTTTCGTCCACAAAGCAAAGAGTTTTTCTGTGCAGTGTTTTAGTTCCTCCCTCTGTGGTAAATCTGAAGAAGCCCCCCTGAGAGACGGAGTCCAGGACCTGTGTGGGATCCAGAGCAGTAAAAGGTGTTGAAAAGCGCTCCGTGATGATTAACGTGCTGCATGTCTGCCAGGAGCTTTACTCTCTATGTTTGGCAGCTTCAGATATCTGCCTGACGACCCGAGGACCCCCCCGCACCACCACCACACACACACACGTCTCAAAATCAGAGGATCGGTTCTCTGGACTGTGGCCCGTTTCAGGCACGCAGCTCTAATGAAGCAGCCGGACACACTTTGAAGCTCTTTATCTGAAACTTTATTCAGGCCAGTGGCGGTTACAGTTACATACATTTTGTTCTTTACATACAGGAAAGTGTGCGTAAAGCAAAGATTGCATCACATCAAGGCACCGGTGTGGGACAGGAGTGCACAGGTTCAAGTCCGATCGTTCTGCAGAGTACGGCCCGATTATTAATGCTCATTACAGTTCTTAGTAAAATACAGCTGTAGGTTCGTGAGACGATCCCTCAAATTGTTGCACAGATTTGAAAACAGGGCTGAGAGGTTCTGCAAGATCATTTACCCTCAGGAACATTTAGAGACGTTTGCATCAGAGTGCAGCCACTGAAGAGAAAAAAAACATGTATTTCTGCGTGCAGTTTGTTAAAGGCAGCTGTGAGGTGGAGCCCAAACCCAACACTATACAGAGTTATAAAACCTAATCAAGCTTAGAACCCAAACAGAACCATTTTTATCAACACTTTTTGGTACAAACCAATGATTTTGTTTACAGTACAGATCTTTGCAGCGTCCCAAACACCAACCCTGTGTCTGCACCACGGAAGCATCAAATAAAACCACTTGGTATGATCTCTGCTCCAACAGTAACCAAACCTGCAAGGTCCAAAAACAACACGGTTCTGAGTCGGTCCCAGCAGGTCTGCAAGTCCTCCTCACTGYATGTCCTTACTGAGACCCGAGCCGGGCCCTGACCCAGGCCCTGGGATCTCCAGCATTTTCTGAAACACAGGAAGAACCGAGTTCAATTTGTTCACTTTTATTAAAACTGCAGCACGTTGAGTAAAAACCTCCCTGTTTCAAAGTGGAGAAAATAAATAGATTTATTTGTAAAACTGAGGTTCTTCTGACAGAAAACATGATCCTTTGATCTCTTTGATTCTTTCTTACAGCAACAAGATGAAAAACAAACTTAACTTGAGAAACGTCCATAACTGATCAGAGAACAAAATAAAGTGTATTTTTACATGGCACCTGCTCTGATATTATATTATAT